AGCAATATTCTGCTGTACACATAAATCACTGTTTATGCCTGTTCCAATTGTCATCAGAGAAGCTTTATCCAGAAACAGATGGAAACAGATCCAGAACCACAGCCATAGATTAAGTAGAGCTGAGGTTTTCCTTATGAAGATGGAACAGAAAGGACTGTAAGAGCCATCGGTGTCAAGAACACACAAGAAAACTCACAGAATCAAATAAACTAGACTCATATTAAACCAACAAGCATGGGACTGAGTTAGGCAGTTTTGTAGTTTGGCCCTCTTGTGGTACTCCTAACAATGGTATGAGGGGCTGTCACCTACTCTTTTACTGACTCTTGCGACCCTATGCCTCAGACTGGATCTCTTTGCCACGCTGTAATACGGTGGGGGGAGGAGAGTGCTTAATCTTACTGCAACTTGATATGCAATGTTTTGTTGATACAATGGGAGATCTGCTTCTCCTAAAAGAAATGGAGGAGGAGTGGATTGTAGGATGGGAACAGAGGGAACTGATAGGGTACTTGGAGGAGAGGAGGGAGGGGAATCTGTGTCCAAGATGTAAAATAAGTAAATAAATAACTTAAAAATGAAAATATTTATAGACTAAGAAACAAGTATTTTCCAAAAAAATTTGAACTCATATTTAAGCATTAATAACAATCATGTCATGCTATATCACTTGCTTAAATGAATAAAAAATCTGAAACTTGGTTGCTATTAAATTAATTTGGCTTTTATTACTTTGTTGAGCAGTGGTTCTTAACCTGTGGGTGGCAACCCTTATAGTTGTCAAAGACCCTTTCACAGGTGTCACATATCAGATATCCTGCATAATAGATACTTAAGTAACAATATATAACAATGAAAAATTTAGAGTTATGAAGTTTCAGTAAAATACTGTATCACTGGTGGTTACCATAACCTAAGAAACTATATTAAAGAGGTGAAGTATTAGAAATGTTGAGAACTACTACCCTAGAGTTTAGTATTATACATTTGTTTCCTCGTATAATAATATGAAAATTGAAGGAAATTTTAATTGGTTATGATAAAAAGTCCTTGAGTTATACTAGGAATGATTGATCATATGGAACACTATTTTCCTGAGAAGATTATTTGGATAGAAATTGTAAAATTGAAATAAACCTCTGAATTGCTCTCTGCCATTTTGTTCTTGTTCTGTGATCTTTTCATGAAACCAGAACTTCTTCCATGATATGACTAAAACAAGTATTTTCATATCATCCCTAATTTCGGAAAATTCCAATACCATATTCTTACAAATTCAATGACTTATTTAATTAAACACCATTGCCATTTATTTTATATATGGTCATTTATGTCATTATATTTTACCACTGGAACTTAGTAATTTCCAATGATGTTTGGAACATTAATAAGAATATTGATGGTGTAGTTTCAAATTTCAATACATAGATGTATTATAGTATATAAAACACAAATGATCTAATGATACTGGAAGTAAATGTAAAGAATAAAAAGCAAAATATGCATGTTTAATAATTGAATTGAAAAACAACACTTAAAATATTTAATATATTATAATAATTTGTTATTTCCTGAGTTTTTCAATATTTTCTGAAGAAACAAGATAAAGAAAGTGGTCACAGATGAGAAATATTTTGAGTACATTCCATTAGTATCATTATTTTCATTGTAACAATAATAGCCCCAATAATAACTCAATGTCTAATTCCTAGTGGGTTGTTTTATTTTACTTGTGTTGCAGTAACAGAAGGTCTGAGATTATGTACTTCATACTAAATAGAAATTAATTTCTCCCAATTCTTGGTCCAAGATACTACTAGCCTTTTTGCGTTCAAGACCATCAGTGGAAAGTCTATAGTTGACTCTATACATTTGTGTAATTAAATAAAACTGATAATCAAAACACTTCCATGAAATCAACATTATTTTTTCCAAAACTTAACACAGCAAAATTTCAACAATGTTAGATATAATTGTTCCATACTATGACATTTATAAACATTTCTTTTGCCTTCATACAGAAAATAACTTTATGAAAATTTCCAAGCTTGTTGACCAATTTTGTGCTATCTTCACATAAAGAATATAATTCATCATATGAATATAGGAAGCAAGTAAAATTGTACTATTGATAAGAAAATATTAATTGTTGTAGAAATCAGGTAATCACAGATTGATGTACTAGAAATATTGAATTTATAATTAATATATGCTATTTTTACTTTCAACATAGAATTGAAAATTACAAATATGTGTGTGTGAATAATATGGTTCTTAGAAAAATACCAAGAAAATATGAATCCATATTTCAAATTAAATGGCTTCTTCATGTTTAAAAAATTACATCAAATGGACATAGAAAAATATCTACATATCTGGTAAAGGATTAATCTGTTTTTTAAACTGCATACAAAAGTCATTTTTGTGGTAGATAGTGACTAACATAGAGCTCCACAATTATCCATGGTGCAGAGAACAAGAGGGTGCAGAATACTCAGTCTTACTTGAACTAGAAGGTAGTTGTACATTGAACCCCAATTCACTGTGATACTTGGCATGTAACCTGCCAAGCCCAATCCAGACTATACCCTAAACCTCATAATATCCCAACATGGAAATTGGGTACTTAATTATTACCATGGAGTTATTGGCAAGTGTTATCTACTGGGATACAGAAAGACAACATTCTCTAAGCACATACTCCCTAATAACTCTACTATGCCCTAGTGGAAGACCATGTATCCAGAAATATCTTGACAACATGAATTAGACTTAATGAGAAAATAAAAAGACATAAAGTTGGTTGGAAATAGACTAGGGAAAAGATGGGAGAGAGATGCTGGATATGATCAAGTTGCATGAAACTTCAAAAGAACTAATACACATTTTAAAGAGAAATGTCTAGCATATTTTATTCCTTGCAATAATTGTCAAAGTTATGATATTAATATCCATGTGTACATAAATATGAACAATAATGAAGTTTAAACATTAAAAACTATAATCAAAGGGAGGGGGGAGGAACTTGAACTACCCACAGGGCAGGAAACCCTGACTGCTCTTAGGGATGGAGAGGGAGGAGGAGAGGGAGTGGGGGGAGTGGGAGGGTGTTGGGAGGGGGACGGAAATGGAAACTTTTATAATTTAATAAACTTTGAAAAAAAATAAAAAAACTATAATCAAGAAATGATTTAGAATAAATGAGTTTATACAGACATGTGCAGAGCATCTGTATTATTGTTCAATACCCATTGAATAGAGGTTTATTAACTTGCAATTTTATAGAAAAGACAATATTATTCCATTCCTGTTTCTTCTCGACTCTTCTGAAATAAGAAGGAAGACTAAATCTAAAGCTACTTTCAAAGTGAACACTTTTGTTTGATTCATGGTACTTTGTCACAGGTAATGTTATAATCATCTTTTCAATGATTTGCAAATCTAACAGGAATAAAAGAATAAAAATACACTGAAGTAGGCCTCTAACTATCCAACCTCACAAAATCACCTGTACCTAACAAAGGCTGCTCTTTGCTTCTCTTGTCTCTCTTCTTTGAACTATTCTCACTTTGGAAATATTTTTCTATAAAAGTACCACCAAGTATTTTAAAATATGAGGCTACTTAACAGAGCGTGAAGAAAACTTGGCTACTTGAGTGAAGATAGCAGCAGGAATAGAGCATCAACAATGAATTATCAGGATAAGAGTAGAAACAAGTAAATGGTTTTCAAAGATTTCCCACTTTCTCAGAGTTTAAGTCACATATGAATTTCACAGTTCACTCTTGGGACGTTAATCAACAGTGATGAGGTACACACCAATTATTATCCTTTAAACTTACTATTATGTGAGTTTATTCATGATAAACACAAAGACTGTACTAAAGTTAAAAACTGCAGGCAATGTTACTATGTGAATAACAAGTAGTTAAGTGTTGCACTATTTCCTTATCATTAGCTTCTAAATTTTAGCACTTACATGAAAATTCAGAAAAGGTCTATAAAGGCCAATTTAATCAATAATCATTGAGTAGAAAAAACTTTTAAAAAATTTCTAGAAAATTTTATGAATTTTGCATTGTAAAACAGCAAGTAATACTTCATAGAAAAGAACATGAATGGTGCTTAAGCTTTTTCCTGATTGCTATTAATTTTCTTTTATTTAAACCACAATTAGAAATTACTGTGGTTCTTTTCTTATATATGGGATATATGAAAGATAAAAGGAAATCATGCAGGTTTTGGGACCTGTACCACTGAGTTTGTAAAATTATTCTGGTGCATTAGAGCAGCTTAAAGTACACCACATTTGCATAATCATATAAAAATATATTCGAACCTGTAACCTGGACTTGATAAAAGGGTCAAAGGTTATTTTTTGTTAAAGTCCAATAAGTATTTACTGATAAAAATTGCTATGACAGCATTATTCATACATCTATGCAATATAAACTTAAAATTTGGAACAGTTCTTAGAGAAATAAAAAAGAAGGTATTTGGTGTGGGCGGGCCTTCGTTTGTGTGTTGCTTTCATTGGTTAATGAATAAAGGCACTGCCTTGGCCTACTTGATAGGGCAGAACTTAGGTAGGTGGGGAGACAAAAATGAATGCTGGGAGGAAGAAAGCTGGAGTAGAAAGATACTATGAATCCACCAGAGACAGATGTGCCCAATCTTCCCTGTAAGCCACTGCCATGTGGCAATACAGAGATTAATATAAATGGGTTAAACTGAGATGTAAGTAAGCCAATAAGAAGTTAGAGCTAATGGATCAAGAAGTGTTTTAATAAATACAGTTTCTGTGTGATTATTTCAGGGCTATGATAGCCAGGAACCAAGGACAAACAATCAGCCCGCTGTTTACAACAGAAATTATTTTCTTTTTATCCAAGATTTTATTTATTTGAAAGCCTCTGATCTATAAATTTTACATACAGAAATGTGTTGCACACCAAACTATAACCTTTAAGAAGTCCTGACAAATTTCATCACAAATGTAGTAATAAGAAATATGATAGTCGGGATGACGTGGCTCTGGAGGGTGTAGGCCACTTCTTCTGTGAATTGGCCAAGGAGAAGCTCGAGGGCGCCCAGTGTCTCCTCAAGTTGCAGAACGATCGCGGAGGCCACGCGCTCTTTCAGGATGTGCAGAAGGCATCTCAAGATGAGTGGGGTAAAACCCAGCAGGCCATGGAAGCTGCCCTGGCCTTAGAGAAGAACTTGAACCAGGCCCTCTTGGATCTTCATTCCCTGGGCTCTGCTCGCACAGATCCTCATCTCTGTGACTTCCTTGAAAACCATTTCCTGGATGAGGAGGTCAAGGTCATCAAGAAGATGGGCAGCCACCTGACCAACCTCCGCAGGTTGACTTCTGGACCCCAGGCATCACTGGGCGAGTACCTCTTTGAGCGGCTCACTCTGAAGCATGACTAGGGGGCCTCTCCTTCTGAGGGGCTCCCACCTCTGCTCTGCTCTGCCAGCCTCAGGACCTTCACCCGGACCTCTCAAGAAGCCACTCGGCAGCTTTGTAACGCCCTGGAGCCCCTCTCAAGTCTTGGACCAAGTAAAAATAAAGCCTTTTGAAACAGAAAAAAAAAGAAATATGATAGTTTAGAAATCATGGTACTAAATAACAGGATATTAAGTATTTCAGCATGAGTTTTCACATCTTTTATACATTCTTAATGTCAAATTATAATTTGTTTTTGCATCACAATGTAGCCAATAAAATCATTGAAATTTTATTTTCATTTTTTTTGCTGTTTGCTATCATAACATATGTTACAAGATCATTGGATCTCATTTATTTTTGATAAGGAATGATGTATGGATACTGATCTGACATATACTTATATTTGTATTAATGTTCAGTCTCTCCTTAACTCCAGTAATAGCTTTGCTATTGATATTTTAGGAAAATTGAGTCACACTGAAATGACTTGTTTACTATAAAATGTTTCTTCTCTTTGTGGATAATGCTTTTGGCTGACTCTTACTCCCTGAATTCTTTCCTTTTGGAGTTTAAGTAAAGATCATGCAACAATCCTATTCTCTTGTTAAGGAGGAACATATTTCTTTATCTGCATTAATAAATCCAAGTCTTGTGTAGGACAATTCTATATTCTGTCAATTATATTTTAAATAAATGCTGATTGGCCGATAGCCAGGCAGCAACTATAGGTGGGAAAACCCAACAGGAAGTAAAGGTAAGGCAGAGAGAACAGGAGTATTCTGGAAAGAAGGAAGCTCTTTCCTCAGTCCTGCCCAGATCAAGGAAGAAGCATGATCTGACCTGCTCCACTGAGAAAAAGTACCAAGCCATGTGGCTAACATAGATAAGAATAATGGGTTAATATAAGTGATAAGGGCTAATAAGAAGCCTGAGCTAATGGACCAATCAGTTTTATAACTTATATAGACCTCTGTGTGAGGATTTTGGGGTTAAATGACTGTGGGAATTGGGCAGGACAGAAACCCCAACAAGCAGACCCTAATGTTACACAAGTTGATGAATTGTTCTGATTATATTCAGTGAAATATTTGGGTAAGTATGATGAGACTAAGACAGAGAAATTGCCTAAGTAAAAAAAAAGGCACAAACATCAAAGGATATAAGCCTCTATAGATCTGTTCTCTGTTTACTGTAGAGTATATTAACCCATGGGAAAGTATTTATTATTATTATTATTATTTTTATTAATTTATAAAAGTTTCCACTTCCGCCCCTCCTCCCAATATCCTCCCACTGCCCCCACTCCCTCTCCTCCTCCCTCTCCAGCCCTAAGAGCAGTCAGGGTTTCCTGCCCTGTGGGAAGTTCAAGTTCCTCCCCACTCCCTCCAGGTCTAGGAAGGTGAGCATCCAAACAGACTAGGATTCCAAAGATCCAGTACGTGCAGAGGAAACAAGTCATGGGAAAGTATTTTGTCCTGTATTGAGTTTGCTACTTTAGAGAGTAATGCTATGTTATGAATGTGCAACAAATCCTAAGAAACTGAAGTCATTCTGTCCATGATCCCCTGAAATTGTCATTCTGATTCATACCTAGATATTTCCATACCATATAAATATATTCTTTAACCATGAAAATTACTGAGATGGTATTTATTATACATATCATATGTAACTGCTTATAATTATCATTCTGTGTGTTTTGAGAATATCCTAAACTACACACTTAGATACAAGGACTGTCTGAGATTAAATTGAAATGGAAGACAGTTTATTTCAAGCAGACACTTCAGAGCCAAGAAAATATAGAAGCTATATTTCAATTATATTCTATTTATAAATCATGTGATCTCATATTCTCATTATAGAAGCAATTTTTTCAGTACTAGAAACTTGAGTTTTAGCACTAAATAGTAAACTCTTGATTTGTTAAGTAATATAGTGTATTTTATTGTATCACTTTAAAAATATAAGTATTTTTAAAATCATAAAAATCAAGTAGTGAAATAAAGGGAAACAGCTTAGTATGTATGGTTGCTTTTTGCTATGCCTGATTACCTTAGTTTGATAACTGGGATTCACATTTTATGGAGAGAGGGTTAATACCTACAGTCCACAATCCACCTGCTTACCTCTTCGTGAATGTATGTAAGTACAGACATACTCATTAAAAATTAAGAAAATATGAAAGTAAGGTATTTTAAGTTATTTCACTTTTAATCAATAAGTTATTTCAAAATGATTTATAAAATATTATCAAAATTTTCATTTTATGATTTAAAATATACTTGAAAGTTTCACATGTAAATAAATACATTATTCAGAATTACTAAATGTTCACCAAAGTGAGCTAAAAATTTTCAAATGAAATATTGAAAACCTAACGTTTTGTTATTAAAATTTTTAATATAATCACAAACACAAATAATATCTTCTCTTAATAAATATTATGAAATTTTTAAATTTAAACTTCTAGGTGTTCTGTATGTCTTTATGTGTTTCAATCTCAATATTATATGTGGAAACCTAGAAATGTGAGGCTGTTTCTGCCTTATCTGAAGGTCAGGGATTTTCAGCTTGCTCAAAGTTGTTAACAACAAGTGTGCCTACACATCCCGACCTAGGATGTGTTTTTTTGGTGTTTTGGACAAGAAGATGACTCATACAGATTGATCTCTTTCATCCTGACCAAAGATCAGAAAATTTATGCATGCTTCTGCTCCATCTTTTGAATTAAGAGGTTTGATCTAGGGAGTAGAGCAAGTAGTATACTTGTTGTAGGGTGGGAATCACTGCCTAAACAACAGAATGCTTTTCTCAAGAAGTGATGGCTTGATGTCTCAAAATACTGAAGCAAGTAACTGTTCTAGTTGTCCTTTGTATCATGTTAAAGTATCTTCTTCCCCTCTTTGTATTAGAGTATAAAAAGTGTATGAAAATATTAAATCATCTACAAGAAACTCTTATCAAGAACAATTTTATATTTTTAATTAATTGTATATCTCTACAGTAGGTAAGATGATCAAATTTATAATTTATTAGTTTGTATCAATTTTTTTCTTTTATTTGCACATGTATGCTATATGTTTCAATGTAGTACTTTGTCTGTTAAGTTTAAGCTATATTCTTTCCTAAGATATTTGATAAAACAGGGACAAGGCAATCAGAGATAATATGATTTACATCAAATTGAAAGTTTTAGTTATCATTACACTCCTGTCTTGCTCATGCAAATGTTGAGAACATTGAATTTACAAATGGGAACTACTTGAATCAAGCCTATTTGAAATGTCATTTTTAATTTCTCTCTCTTTCAAGTTTTCATCAAAGTTGATCCTCTTGATTGCTGTTACAGCCTGAAAGAAACTTACTACAAAGATTGACCTGCTACTGTTGAATTTCAGTCATCATGTAACATGATCCATTTAGTGACTTAGAAATTTCCAAAGACAAATATTAGTCATCTATAATAATAACCAAAATATCCTTCTTCATAACTGTTTTTAAAACAAGATGAATAACACATGCCTTATATTTCATGTAAATGTGAATGAGGTATATTAGGCTTCATTTAATCTCTAAATTAAAACACACTGGTATTTTTTTTTTCATGTAGGTGAAAATTACAGCATCTTTCCAAACCTAAAGATGGATATTCCTGTGAAGGTAGAAGAAGCTTACGGGACACCAATTAGACTGGATAAAAAAGTCCCCTCACCACATAATAATTAAAACACAAAACATACAGTATAAAAAAGAATATTATGAGATGCAAAAGAAAAAGTCAAGTAACATCTAAAGTTATACCTATCAGAATTACATATGACTTCTCAGTGGAAATCATGAAAGCCAGAAGGTCCTGGGCAGATGTGTTGCAGACACTAAGAGATCACAGATGTAAGCCCAGACTACTATACTCAGCAAAACCTTCAATCACCATCAATAGAGCAAACAAGATATTCCATAACATAACCAGATTTAAACAATACCTACCAACAAATTCAGCCATACAGAAAATACTAGAAGGAAAACCCCTACCAAAGGAATCCAATTGTACCCACAAAAATAAAGTGAGCAGGAAATCTCACAACAACAAAACCCAAATACGGGTAACATACTCACTACCGCCAAAAAACTAACAGGCATTAACAATGACTGGTCATTAATTTTTCTTAGTATTAAGGAATTCTATTTACCTAAAAAAGGACACAGGCTAAAATTGTGGATTTTAATACAGGATCCAGCCTTCTGCCATATACAAGAAACACACCTCAAGTTCAAAGATAGACATTACCTCAGAGTAAAGGGGTGGGAAAAGATTTTCAAATCAAATGAACCTAAAAAACAATCAGGTGTAGCCCTCCAAATCTTTAACAAAGTAGACTTCAAGATAAAATCAATAAAAGAGAAGGACACTTTTTACTCATAACAGAAACAATCCATTAAGATGATGTCTCAATTCTGAGAATCTATGCCCCAAATACAAAAGCACCCACATATGTAAAAGAAACATCACTAAAGCTTAACTCTCACACATAAAAACCCACATATTAACAGTAGGAGACTTCAACTCCCTGCTCTTCTCAATGGACAGGTCAATAGGACAGAAACTTTAAAGAGAAATAAGGGAACTGATAGATATCATGACTCAAATGGAATTAACAGACGTACAGAACATTCCATCCAAACACGAAAGAATATACCTTCTTCTCAAGACCAATTAAATCTTCTCTAAAATCGACCACATGCTCAGTAAAAAAGCAATCCTTACCAGATTAAAAATAAATGGAGTAATCCCTTGTATCTTACTAGATCACCATGGTTTAATGTTAGAATTTAACAACAACACTGCTCTCAGAAAGCCTACAAACTCATGGGAATTGAACAGTGAACTATTGAACCACCTCTGGGTCAGAGAAGAAAGAAATTAAAGACTTCCTAGAATTAAAAAAAATGAAGGCACAATGTACTCAAACCTATGGGACACAATGAAAGCAATGTTAAGAGAAAAGTTCACA